CCCCAAAACCCCAAAACCCCAAGAATATACATAATGGATAATTCTAAGAAGAATATTTGGTTAAAATTATTACGAATCTCAAATACACATCTAACTAAATAATTTTTATCAATAAGAGTCATCGTTGGAACTATCGTAATTTCCTCCTCCATAATAACTGTTGTCGTTTTCATCATCTGACTAACTATATTAATCTCCATTTTAGTAATGATCCTCCTACTCTGAATGATCATCTTCCTCGGCCTCCTCGTCTTCTTCCTAATCTGATTCATTATTATATAAATTCAGTTGATTCTGTGATTATTATGAGCCAAAATAGTCATCAGCACTTTAATCACTTTCTGAGTTATCTGAGTCAGAATATAAATTAGCTGGTTATTTGATAGGATAAGGATTATGGGAATGTCTATAGCTTGGGAATATAGGAGCTTAAGGATATTTTAAAATTTTTGGTTTCCATATCAAGTTTAATTCTTAGTTTACTTTGGAATTTACAATTTTTTTAACTCACTTTTGTTTCTTGGCTTAGTTATTTTATTTTTTTGGAGGATATGCAATTGGCCACTTATGTTCTTCTTTATGATTGAGATTTTAAATTTGAATAGCGCTTTGATTTTGTCGATTAAGTTATGATTACTAAGCATTAGATTATAACTCCTTAAGTTGAGTTTCCAATGCTTCTATCCTCTTCTGCATGTTTTTATCAATTAACATTGAAAGATCCTTATCTATAGAATGATTCAATATTTCTTAAAGAGAAAATAAAGTTATAAAATTACCTTTAAATTAGTTAAGCTTTGATTAAAACTTCATCAGATCATCAATTTCTTCACTTTAAGCTTATTCTTGTACTATTTAAATTTATTTGTCACGATATATAATTACCATTATCTTGAGGATTGACCAATTTCTATTCGTCTTAGGGATTTTATAGACTCATTTAAAAAGAAATATGATTAATGATGATTAATTAACTTGAATCAAATATTATTTATTTAAACTAAATTAAAAATTAGAGTGTAAAATTGCAGTAATTGAGAGATTTTCGTTGTAAGGGGTTTTGGGGTTTTGGGG